ATTTAAGTTGAAATATACCCAAAATACCAATTAAAGATATTTACAAAACAACCTTCTTACAATCATCCTTTAAAGTTAATCTTCATATTAAAACACTTGAACAAGTTTATGCTTTAACTAAATTTAGAGAAACATGTCAATTATTCTCTGCTGATACTATTAGGCGTCATTTGGCCACTGGTCACAACTTTATTCACTTAGGATTAATTCAAGTAGGAATCAAACCATTAATTCAACAACGTAAAAACTCATCTGCTTTACTCTGTTTACGTGATGCTCAATTTATTGATTTTAATGATAGCATTATAGGAATGATGGAATCTGGCCTTCACAAAGGACCAGTTCATTTTAATTGTTTTCCTGATTTTACTCTTAGTTTACGTGATCCACATATATTAAAAGCCTTAACCCTCAATATTCAAATATCTGGCTCAGCTGCTAATATGATTGAAAAAGTTCATAATCTTGCTTTAACTTATCGTGTTCATTATAAAGTTATGAAAACTAATTTAAATGTTCAATCTTTACACAAAAGTCCCAAAGATAAAACATTGCTTATCCAAAGTAGTACTGCTAAAGCTAATATTACTACTCCTAATATGCTTAGTTGGAAAGATAATACATTACCTGATGAATGGATAACAACCAATGAAAATTATAATCTTAATCCACACACACATCAAGATAAACTCAAAGAAATTCAACAATTCACCGATGGATCTATTCATATTAAATTTAATAGAATAAATAGTCAATCTTCTCGCCATAGTACATCTAGTATCCCCACTACTGAAGCTGATGAAGATGAAATCTTTAATACACCTTTATTTCAAAAAAATAGTCAAATTAATATTGGTCAATCTTCTCATATGCATACTAAATTAAAAGGTCTAGATAACTCCTCTACTGCCCAAATTAGTAAACCTGTTTATGAAGAAGATATTGCATCCCAAGATTCACCTACTCAAACTGATTTTGAAGTTGTTCCTCTTGTTGATCCACAACTAGCCCATACCAAAAAGTCAAAGAATCTCTTTTCTCTCTACTTTTTGCACAGTTTTTCGTAATTAGCCAAAAAGTCATCCCAAACATACAAGTTTTTTTTACCTACCTTTTTAGCCAAATAGCCAAAAAGTTACTAAATTAGCCTGTTCCCAAACGAGGCCTTAGCTTGACATTGGCAATGTATTCTAAATATTTGTAACTTCCACTAATTTAAAGAATTTCATTCCTGACCAAATAATGTAGGTCTTGTAATAGTTTCGGTTTGTTTCCATGTTTAGTTATATTTAAAGTCTCATCCTACATTCTCGATGTTCTCCTATTTTAATGTACCTCCATGTCATGTTCTTTTTCTTTGTCAGCTTCTTTTTCTTTTTTCTCTTTTCTCCCTGTAATATGATTACACTTATTTTAAAGGAGATTGTATCAAGATGTTTGTAAGAAATCGACCACTTTTGATCTCTTCTTTTCTTCTCTATTCAGTTTCTAAAGAAGGGCCTGATATATGCAAGGTCTACTTGACGAACGCATGAAAATGTAATATTTACCGAAAATGTTTGGGTATTGATGGCCTTTTATTATGTTAATTCCCTCCATTTATGTTCAGCCATGTAATAACAGGTTAATTTTCATTTTTTACAATGAACTTGTTAATTAGGATGATGATCAAGGGATTTGGAGAAGTCTTGGAGAAAGTGGAAGTAAAATAGAGTTACGATTAAGCAAGTTGAAGCAGTCTAGTAGACAGCCCGCTAGAGCAATTGTCTTGCAGCATTGAGGGGAAAAAATTAAACCACTTGAGAGATTGTTAAAGTGCCTAGTCTAACAGATTGAATGCATACTCATGCAGCTAGACAAGCGGGTATAACACCCACTCCAGTGTGGTCAATAAATTTTAAACATAATGCATAGTGCTGGAGTGTTCTAGAGAAGAATGCCCAAACGAGTGGCCCAACAAGAATGTAAAAAAACATCCAAATTCTAAGTTTCTCCAGTCAATCCAAACGCAAAAGCACAATATTAACAGGTAAGGCACAAACAAGAGCTGAATAATCAGAAAACAACATAGGAAGAAAAAAATACTAGAAATTCTAGAAATAACATACTGCAAATCATTGACCCGGCGCGAAGTTCTGCGCTCAACATTCCTAACAGACAATGGCTCATCCCCTAATGAGAACTGCTTTATTTCAACTCTCTGCACATAATCAGGCTTCTTCAGATTATCAATAACTGGCTGAAGCAACCCAATAAGCCAGTTCTCAATTCCACCTCTATAAACCTTCCACAACTTCCCCAAAACCATGTTTACCCATTCCACAGACTCTTTCCTCTGCAAATCCTTCTCAAAAAACAAAGAAAAACTTGTGGGCACCTGAGGCCAAGTACCTGGTCTACCGTCACCCCCAAGTTTATTCCTCTTCCTTGATGTCCAGAGTTTATCCGAAGCGACCCCAACAAAGAAAAAAAACACAAACAAGCCAACAATAGTCCGATTAATCGGCGGCGAAGGAAGAGGATGAATAACCCCTAATTGAGTCCTTAGCTTATCTACAATTGGGTCTTCTTGAAAGCTAGTAAAATTTGAACCCATACCCACATGAATTGAGTCTTGAGGTAATTGCAATTTGCCATTACCATCCAATTCATCTGCAAATCGTTTGACTACGTAAAATTTGGCTCCCCTCCTTGCGGAATTGGGGATTTCGATGCTGAGATTGTGGTTTCCACCATCAGTTGGAAGCATACAAGCTCGAAGAAGCCATCTTGGGCGAGAATTGTTGTGAAATTTTCTAATTGGAAAAATTCTTCGATTGAGTGGGAGTCCATGATGATCGAGCTTACATGGGCAGAGAGATGGCGAAAGGTGAAGAAGAATACGGGAAGAGTCAGAGGTGGTGGGAAGAGTTGATTGCAAAAAAATCATTTACTGTGGGAAACTTGAGAACCCTAATTTGAAGAATAGGGTCATGAAATGAGGTGGTATTATTAAACATGAATGAATTCACAGCAGAGATTGTGATTTTAACAACCCTAAAAATGGGAATTGGATGGAAGCTTCATTAATTTATCATAGATAAACTGTACAACGGTAAACTGTACAACGATAGAGAGAGAGAGAGAGAGAGAGAGAGAGAGAGAGACGAAGACAATGCTAGAGACAGAGAGAGAAGGAAGCTTCATTACTTTATCATAGATCACGCATTTCTGATTGCAGGTAAACACGGTGGATTTGGTTCAAATATCAAAACCAAATAGAAGGACGCTGTATTTGATAAGTAGTGATATCGCTTGGAACGACGTGGTGCACGTGGGCGTCGGAGCCAACGCGGCTCATCTTCTTTTTCTTTTTCTTTTTCGTTGTTTTTTTTACCCCCTCAAATTAGGATAAATTATAGTGACACCTCTGAAAATTTCTGTTTAATATAAATCTCTTTCATATTTAAAAAGTTATTATTATTTTTTTGAGATTTGTAATTTTATTATAAATTATTCCTAAATTGTTGATCTTATGTCTTAAAATTTTCTAAATGAGCATCTTATTATTTTTCTTATCATTTCTTTTTCCAATCATTATAATTACATTTTATAATTTTTCATTATTAAATTTTATCTGAACATATTCTATTGAGCGATGATATACAAACATAAATTTTATATATAATTTTCAAACATAATGATATAGTTTATAAAAATGTTAGAGATCTCAAAAATTCTATCGAAATGTCTACTAAATGTCTCATATGTGTGAGACATTTTAATAGAATTTTTAGAAATTCTAACATTTTTATAAACTATATCATTATGTTTGTAAACTATATCTTAATGGTGACATTTCATTTTAAAACAAAACACTTATAAATATTATTTATATTTATAACAATATCACTATCATAATATTTTTATGATATTTTTACTAAGCCCCTTGTACTATCAATCCCCCCTCCCAAATTTTCCTAATCCCATCCAAAACACAACCAAGTTAATCCCTCTACTGAGAGGAATTACTATTACTAAGCCCCTTGTACTATCAATCCCCCCTCCCAAATTTTCCTAATCCCATCCAAAACACAACCAAGTTAATCCCTCTACTGAGAGGGATTACTAAGCCCCTCGCACTATCAATCCTCCCTTCCAAATCATCACTAAACACATTGTGGGTGAGACCCATAACCATAGCAATCCAATCTAGCCATCTACGCCGGTAAACAAACATGACCTTAATGTGTGAATTATTAGTGAGGAAATTAAGGGAAAGTGTGTTTATTTTGATGATATAATGTGGGAGATGGTTAGTGATGGAATTGTTAAATTATTTTTATAAAAAATCTAAAAAAATAATTTCTATATTAAAAAAAATATTTAACAAATATAAACAAATACACATTAAAAAAATAACTCAAAATTCTTGTCAAAACTCGTAACCAAATAAATTTTCTTTTTTGCAAAACTCATAATTCAAAATACAGCTTCACACTTCAATCATCATTCTAAAAATAGTTTTAAAAAACAAAATAAAAAATGTTTTTTTGAATTTTTTTTAAATAGAGTTTTGAAAAGATTTTGGTTATATGTTTTAAAAAGAGTTTGGGTAAAGGTTTATATTTAATACAACCCCCTCCCTAAAGTACTAAAAATTATATTTTCCTCATTAAGATTTGTATTTACATTATAAATTACCCCCTTAATTAATTAACCGTTAGACCAATTAACGGTTTTTGCATATGTCCCTACCTTTCCCTTTCTCTATATGAATGTTGTGCAAAACCATTTGCAGAAACCCAGAAAAATAAAAATGAACATAAAATCATTTGCAGTAACTCCAAAAATAAAAATAAAATTAAAAAAATTATTTGACAAACATCTCTATTAACCGTTTTATCAAACAAGTCAATGAATCTTACACATTTCAATTAAAGCATTATGAATAAATAAATATTATCATGGACAAGTCTATCCATTACCACTTAAAACATGTTTGGTACGATGGAATGAGCTAAAATAGAATATTCATTTTAACTTTGCATTTCTTTTCCTTGTTTAGTACGCTTTATTTATGTGAGAATAGCCATTCCATTGGAATGTCCATTTCAACAAAATGTCGGAATGCCTATTCCTTCAGATGTATTATTTAAAATATAACTAGCAGATGTATCTGGGGATATACTGTGTGAGTTCTATTGTCTTGGTTTACACAAACTAGCAGGGCCAAAATGAACACAATAGTGAGAACTAAACTGTATCTGGGGATATACTGTGTGAGTTCTATTGTCTTGGTTTACACAAACTAGCAGGGCCAAAATGAACACAATAGTGAGAACTAAACTGTATCTGGGGATATACTGTGTGAGTTCTATTGTCTTGGTTTACACAAACTAGCAGGGCCAAAATGAACACAATAGTGAGAACTAAACTGTATCTGGGGATATACTGTGTGAGTTCTATTGTCTTGGTTTACACAAACTAGCAGGGCCAAAATGAACACAATAGTGAGAACTAAACTGTATCTGGGGATATACTGTGTGAGTTCTATTGTCTTGGTTTACACAAACTAGCAGGGCCAAAATGAACACAATAGTGAGAACTAAACTGTATCTGGGGATATACTGTGTGAGTTCTATTGTCTTGGTTTACACAAACTAGCAGGGCCAAAATGAACACAATAGTGAGAACTAAACTGTATCTGGGGATATACTGTGTGAGTTCTATTGTCTTGGTTTACACAAACTAGCAGGGCCAAAATGAACACAATAGTGAGAACTAAACTGTATCTGGGGATATACTGTGTGAGTTCTATTGTCTTGGTTTACACAAACTAGCAGGGCCAAAATGAACACAATAGTGAGAACTAAACTGTATCTGGGGATATACTGTGTGAGTTCTATTGTCTTGGTTTACACAAACTAGCAGGGCCAAAATGAACACAATAGTGAGAACTAAACTGTATCTGGGGATATACTGTGTGAGTTCTATTGTCTTGGTTTACACAAACTAGCAGGGCCAAAATGAACACAATAGTGAGAACTAAACTGTATCTGGGGATATACTGTGTGAGTTCTATTGTCTTGGTTTACACAAACTGCTGAACAGTTCAAGACATTATGTACACTGGTTAGCTAGTAAATCCGATAGTGTCTCACAAGGGAAGATTCAAAGCCAAAAGCTACCTATCATTTACAGAATATTTCCAATTTATGTACTCTCTGTTATTAGATCATGTTGTTATATTTTCTCTCCGTCAAATTCCATTCATGTGGGAGATTGTTGGAAAATTGGTTGTGTATAGGCTTATTTTGGGCCATCTTTGAGCCCAAAATTGAGTGGGCCCTAAACGTTTTTTGGGATGGATCCGAAAAGGTGACGTGTTCGTTGCCGCATGGTAAGTCACACGGTGAAGACAATTTGTCAAAACCATTTATGAGTGAATGAGAAGTTGATGTCGTTTTCGAGTTCGTAGAATGGACAATTAAAGAAGTAAATGTGGGTTTCCTTGAAATGGGTTGTCCCACATTGAAACTTTAAGAGAGCTTTTGTGGGTATATAAGCTCTTGGTGTACTAACTTGGGTTGGGCCCCAAGGGGTACCCCAAGTTTGTAGAAGGGAAGAGTTATGAACAAAGTGAACCTTAGCCCAAACCACCACACACGCACGCGCTCCGCAGCCGTCCGACCGGCTAGCCGAGCTGAGCCGAGCCGTGCTGTGCACGGCTGTGGGTTGGCTCGGTTCTAACTTTAATTTGTCGGACAAATTTTATTTGAATTTTTCCAAATATTTGAATTTCAAATTGAAAAAATTCAAATTTTGTTTTCCAAAGAATATACCTCTTCCAATACCAGATTAAACTATTCCAATAGTTTAAAAAACTGTTCTGCAACAGTTAGATTATTCAAACAACAGTTTGAAAAACTGTTTCAAGCTCCGGACAGATTCAGTTATGTTTAGACAGATTCAAATTATTTGACAGTTTGAGTTTTGCATCTGTTCATACTGTTTTGCTCATTTTCCATTAAAAAAAACAGACCTGTTCGGGTCTATATAAATCAAGGCATTCCAACAGTTTGTACACATCTGAAAATTCATTCTTTGTTTCTACTTTTGCTCCCTTGCATGATATTTTCATCATATTATTTTAGGGAAATTTTAAAGAAAGTATAGAACACAAGTTCTAGTTTGCCAGACAAATATGTTTGGAGTGCTACTACAAATATGTGAAGATCATTGTATCCTGGGAGATAGACGCCATTAGTCCATAAGCACCGTAGCGGGGTGAATTTGTCTTAAGGACAGAGTGTCACACACTCGACTTGATCTTTTAAATATTATTCGGTCCAATAAAAAAGATTCGGTACGTTATTTATTTTATCTGTTTGATTTTGTTTCAATTTATTTATTATACACAGAAGATTGTTCCAACTCAGACTGGTACCAAACAGGGCCTTGCTAGTTTGCTAGAGTAAAAACCTTGGGATGAGAATGGGAGTTATCCTAATATGAGTTGGGAGAATTACACATTAGAAAAATTTAGGGTAAAAAATTACAAAAATATAATGAGTGCAAGTTAAGACTTCTCTAACAAATTAACCTTTAAATTTAACCACATCATCTTTAAATGACAACCAATCATATTATAATCAAAACTGAGAAGCAATTTAACTAATATATGCTATTATGACCTTTTCAAGTTAGGCATCAAGTATTCAACTTCTTATGTTGTGCCAAGGTTACCACTTATATTTATGATCATATATTGTGTTAGTTATATTTATTTGCCATAATAATACTAAGGATATGTCTGAAATTTTTTTGTGTTCTTGTTTTTTATTTTGTTTGCAAAAATTTTGAAAAGTGGGAAAGAAAATACATTAGAAAACTGATTTTGTTGTGAAAATAAAAAAAATAAAAAAGACAATAATTTTCAAAAATTTTAAATTTTATAATTTAAAAATGTTATTATTTTCTACCCTTCCCTTGTCTTGCCATGCCACTGCAATCCCTACGTATTCAAAATATTTAGTATAATATTTACTAAAACCAGCAAAAGAGATTGCAGAATCAAAGTCGACGACATTGTCGATCATTGAGAATCTACCGTTTTCGCCAGATGCAAGTCGCCGCTGGTGAACAGTCGCTAACGTTTTCGCGAATGGTTTGTTTTTGAATTTTGTGAAAAATTAAGAACGAGTGAAGTGGGAAGAAAACTGACCATTGTCTTTTTTTTGGGGGGTGGGTAAAAACTAACCATTGTCGCTTGACTTGAATTCTGCAGATCACTAGAACTTACACTTTTCAGAGAGAATCAAGATGAAGCTATGCTATGTATCGAACTGTATATATGTACATATAGACGAATCTAGCATAAGCATACGGTAGAAGCACGGAATCTCACAACTTGTTATGGAAGAGCGAGAAGTTCAATTAGAATTTGCCAGTTTGAGGTTTGATTTTTTTATATTCGACGTGAACATTCACATGGTCTGCAATATAGAGTTGGGTTTTTATTGTTTGGATCTACTCCGAAGGTGATTTTGAGAATTTGATTGCAATTGATGATACACATTAGGCATGTCGAATTTGGGATTTTTTTATTTTTTTTATTTTTGACTCACATTTATGGTTCTTCAACTTAAATATTTGATGTTAACATTCCCATGATTTGCTATATGAACTTGGGTATGAATGTTCACATACCTATTTGAATTGATTATGTGAACGTTAATACTACCTAAACATTCACATGGTCGGTGTGTGAATTTTATTTTATTTTTTTTAATTAATTCTGTGAACATTCATATTGGTTTGTCAATGGGTTTTTCCTTTTCTTAATATGAATGTTCAATTTTTTGAAGCCCTTATTGCTTGATTGGGCATGTAAATATTCATCAGTGAATAATGATTAGTTTCTCAATTTTTTTGTTGTTTGTGTAACTACAAAATGTTGTGCTTATTCACTGTAGTTTTTTTTTTTTTTGGGTATGTTGACATGTTTGGGATGAGTATAAATGTTCATATGCCCATTTGAATTGATTATGTGAACATTAACACTGCCTAAACATTCACATGATTATTGTGTGAATTCAGATTTTTTTTTTGAATTAATTATGTGAACATTCATATTGGTTTGTCAATGAGTTCTACTTATTTTTTTTAATATGAATGTTCAATTTTTTAGGCATGTACATAGTTCGAATTTTGTGCATATAGATCATATTTTCCTTTTCATTCATTTTTTTTTTTCCTGATTCTAGTGCACATTTTGGAACATTCACCTTGTATTTGCAGTGTGAATGTTCACAGTTTACGTACATACATTAATCAGCAGATGAAAATATAGAAACAAAAAATATATTTCTTTATTTATTAAAAGCATGAATATTTATATTTGCATATATATATATATATATATTAAATAGGATAGTTATACTAGAGTTTAAATTCCATGATTTTCTCCTAAAATATAAGTTCAAATCTAAATGGGGCAATTATTCTAGATGAATTTATTGAGGATATTTTTGTAACTTCCAACCACATAGGCCTAAATGGGCTATTAAAAAAAAAGGATCAATCCGGGTGGCTCTATTTACACACCACCTTTTCTCTCAAGGCAAACCATTAATTAATTTATTTTTTATTACAATTTTAACCTTAAATGAAATGACTATTAAGGACAAATTATAATACACACCATTTATGTATTTACCATAAAGGACAAGAATCAATATAATATAAATCATTAATTCAAACTTGTTCCTTACGTATCTTCTTTGTCAAGAATACAAAAACCCTAAAAGCAAAACCAAAAATTCTTCAACAAATAATCAAAAATATAATATTATTGAAGATTTTGCATGGATTCAATGAAGAATGAATCTGACAACTTTGATTCACAACAATGGAACAAGGAAGAGGTTATTTTTATTTTTTTTTGTTGTTTTTGTTTTCGTTTTCGTCTCCTTGCTGTACAGTTCGGTTCACCAGAGCCACATTATATCGTTGATCGACTTATTATTTGTTCGATTAACTACAATCGAACACAATGACAATGTTCGACCAACAACAACCGAACAAAATGCACTTGTTCAACATACTACGGTCGAACAAAGTGCATTTGTTCAACATACTACGGTCGAACAAAATGAACTTGTTCAACATACTACGGTCGAACAAAGTTTATTTGTTCAACATACTACGGTCGAACAAAATGCACTTATTCAACATACTACGGTCGGACTATTTTAATGTATTCGGTTTGTAAGAGTCGAACTCGTATATTCGACCAAAATCGAGCAATTTCATTTAATTCGACTCTGTACTGCCGAACATTTATAATTTTTTTTTTCTTTTTTTTTTCAGAACAGTGCATCCGTGAAATATAGTAATGTTGGATCTGGGGGTCTTGTTGACTACACGAGTCAATTTATTAATAATGAGGTACTCTCATGTCGAAAATTAGTATTTTTTTCTTTTTCTTTTCGGATATTTAATGAGTTTGTTGAATTTGACTTGTAGGTTTTCAAGAGCAAAGAAGAATTACTTGGTTGGGTACGGGATGTTGGAAGGAAAAATGGGTTTGTGATTGTCATCAAGACATCAGACTATGGTGGTGGTCATAGGACACCGAGGATATTTCTTGCCTGTGAGAGAAGTGGTCAATACAGAGCTCATAAGAAATTAGCGGGAGATGATTCAAGCAAAAAAATTGTGAAGATAACGGGTACAAAGAAATGCGGGTGTCCCTTTGAGTTAAGGGCTCGTAAGTTGATGGCTGATGATGATTGGATGGTAGATGTAGCATGTGGAATGCATAATCATGCTCCTGCTAAACATTTTGAAGGACATTCATTTGCAGGGAGATTATCTGAGGAGGAAAAATCATTATTAGTGGATATGTCGAAAAGCATGGTCAGACCGAAAGAGATTTTGGTTACATTGAAACGAAAGGATGCTTTGAATGTAACCACTATGAAAACCATTTACAATGTACGTCATAGGAATAATGTTATTGAGAAAGCTGGGAGATCACAAATGCAACATTTGTTGGGTGAGTTAGAAAAGCATAATTACATTGAGCGGCATAGGTGTGACAACAACACGATGACTGTCACAGACTTGTTTTGGGCACATCCTGTCAGTTTAGATTTGCTCCGTTCATTTCCAAAGGTGTTGATCATGGACTGCACATATAAGACAAATCGATATCGTCTTCCTCTTCTTGAGATAGTTGGAGTGACATCCACTGATATGTCATTCTCCGTAGCCTTTGCATATCTCCAATTTGAGCGAATTGATAACTACGTTTGGGTGTTAACTACATTGCGTAGTCTCTTGGATGACATTGCTATTCCTGAGGTGATTGTCACGGACAGGGAGCTTGCTTTGATGAATGCTATTGACAGGGTATTTTCTACATCTCGACATTTATTATGCCGATGGCATATTAGTAGAAATGTACTGGCGAAATGTAAGAAAATGTTTAAGAGTAAGGAGGAATGGGACAAGTTTATCTCTTTATGGAATTTTTTAGTACTCTCCTCAACTGAGCTTGAATACAATGAACATCTTGCTAGGCTACTTGCGGATTTTGATACATATCCTGAGGCAGTGCAATATGTGTCACAAAGTTGGTTAATTCCATATAAGGATAAGTTTGTTGCCGTATGGACAGATAGTTGTATGCACTTCGGGAATGTTACAACCAATAGGTAATATATATTTGTCTACCTTACACTATCACGCATTATGATTTTGATTATTTAAACTTGATTATGTTAATTGTTTCCATTGTACATAGGGCTGAAAGTGCACATGCAAAACTGAAACGGCAACTTGGTTCTAACCAAGTAAATTTTGAGTGTTCTTGGACCAAGATCCATAGTTTGCTTGAGTTGCAGCATGTTGATATTAAGGCATCATTTGAGAAGAGCTTAACCATTGTACAACACCAGTTCAAACCATCCCATTTTAGAGAGCTCCGAGGCAATATCTCTATTACTGCATTAGATCATGTCTTAGCGGAGAGTAAGCGAGCGAATGATGTTGGCATTGATGCTTCAGTATGTGGATGTGTTGTTCGACGAACACACGGGTTACCGTGTGCCCATGAGATTGCGGATTACATCCGGCAGGGTCGTCCAATACCACTTGATAGCATTAACCCACACTGGAGGACTCTTGAGGTAGTACAAAAGTTGAAGAATGATAAAGTGGAATTGAGTTGTGAACCAAAGTTTGATCTCATGCTTAAGCGATTCAATGCATCTGATTACACTACGCAGTTGGAAATTCTGCATAAGTTAGGAGAGATTGCAGATCCCCAAAGTAGTTTTCTCATTGAGCCGGATGTGAAGCCCAACCCTCGAGGTAAGGGACATAAGAAGATAGATGTATCTACGCGTCGAGACTCATGTGCATTTGAGCTAGTTCAGTCTGGACATGATAGCCACTCACCTATGGGCACCTAGATCCCCACACAAGATTCTGTCAAAGCACATAAAAAACGGCCTGCCAAAGAGCAGGTACATGTAATCATTTTTTACTTACATTTTTGTTTATGATAAATTACGTGTTTTGTTGTTCATGTGTTGATGTCTTTCCTGTTGAATAGGTATATCGGACGCGTACAAGTACAACTTATTCATATGTTGATGCCCTTCCAGTTGGATTGAAGCCTTACATACGTTTTATCAAGGATGTAGATGCCGATGGCAATTGCGGGTTTAGGGCCATTGCTGGCTTGATGGGGCTTACAGAGGCTGAATGGGGTCAAGTCAGGCGTGATCTCCAACAGGAATTGCACACACACGTAGACCATTATACTCATCTATATGGTTCACGTGACAGGATTGAAGAGCTGACCCATATTCTATCATTCTTTGAGCCTAATCCAGGGTATCACCGTTTGATGACTATGCCTGACATGGGTCATCTTATTGCATCTTGTTATAATGTGGTATTGTACCACTTATCTGCACAACAATGCCTTACTTTCCTCCCTCTACGATCAGTGCCAATATCACAACTTCAACGGCGTGAGATTGCTATTGGGTTTGTTAATGGGAATCATTTTGTCCAGGTACAACATTATGATTTGTGTAACACATTTATCATTTTGTATTGCATCGCTTTCATACTTATATCTGTGTCAATGTAGGTGTTCATGTTACCGGGTCATCTAGTTCCACCAATAGATACCAATTGGTGTAAGTTTCATCATTCTTGTGCGGCTGGATGGGATACTGCATATAGTCGCCGAATTGAGCATTTTAAACAAGTTGTTCATTCAGGGGTAGCTACTAGAGAGACATTTGATTGTATTAACCTCGATGAGTAATAATGTATGTGAGTTGAGTTGTAGTGATGCAATTTAAATAGTTACCGATACATTTTTTTGGATTAGCATTTAAATAGTTGCGTTGGATTAAGCTTTGAGTTAATATAATGCACATGGTAGTACTTGTTCATTGCGGTGTATCAAATGCATTGGCATAATACTTCATGTTGATTACCAAAAATACAAACTATGAATACTTTTTTGTTATAAAATATTGGTAGAGTAATTTTTGTTCATTACAAAACAACAAAAACATCAAAAGAGTACTTCTTTTCCAATACAAAATACCAAACAAGATTACCACATAACCAACTACCTATCATCTACTCGTCTCCTACGATTGTATGTTTGAAGTGTAATAGAACTAGGTCCAGCCTCATCAATTTGTTGACCTTGAAGAACACGTGTGATCCTCTCAATAGCCTCATATAACCTATCTGGCTCACGAACACTAGCATCATGGCCCGCCTCATATAACCTATCAATCACATCCTCTTCCAAGATTTGAGGTGCTTCCTCCAACACTGCGCAATCCATAGTGCATGATCAATACGTTGCATTAAGAACAAATACAATTGTAATTAGCACATGTCATCCTAAAAAAAAAAATTAAACGATGTGTGCGCAATATTGTCATACCTCAGCGTCCTGCACATCAAATCTACTATCATGTGCACGTGGGTCAAAACCAGACCGATGTGTGGGGTTCTGGATATATAAGTGTGTGATACTTGTATACCACTGCATGTAACCATCAACACAATCAGCTGGACGTCTGACTGGGGTACTCCTCCTTCGAGCAGATAAAACATGATTATCCCAACTCTCCCATATCTGATCAAGATACTAATACATCACTTTATATCGGCCTGCTGTCACACCTCTAACGGCACGAACAGGGTCGAGTGGCGCAGGTGGGATGGTCTAAACCCTACCAAACTGTCTAAGAACCCTTTCAGGATGATAGGGTTCAACAACATCCAAACACTTCAAACAGCCAGTATAGAATGTGATCTCATGACATGGGTGATGTTGACGGCAATGTCGATATGGTTCCCAAGTAACCTAAGAAGGAAACACAAATAAAATCGTGATGAGTGACATGTAATGAGAAAACTTAATTAAACTAATATTAATTGGTGTACCTCATCAAATGCCAATCTGTCAAGCTCCTCCCGTAACGCCTGTAGGTGTGATATCGTTGAGCCAGCTTCCCGACGAGGAGTCCATCGATGCACGTGAGGCAATTGTACAGTATATTGCATGTTTTGGCGAGGTCTAAATGGCCGGAAATGCTCATAAATCCATGCCTCCAATAATGTCATGTAACCAGTCATTTGTCGAACAGCTGATCTCGTGGCAAATCCCAACTGTCGGTATAAATATGCCAATGCAGCTGCACCCCAAGCATATGTATGAATATCAGACAAATCCATCAACAACTTCAAGTACACAACAGGAACTCTCGTCCCACTCTTATCACTGAACAATGTACATCCCAATAGAAATAGCAAATACGCTCTGGCGGCACAAGCTATGGATTCCTCGGTGTCTGAATCTTTGCAACCACTGAATTTGGTTTGTAACCACTCTAGCTTCACTGATTGTCCCCTAGCAGATGATAGTTCCTCAGTTGCTTCAGCATCATCAACTCCCAAGGCATCTACCACAAGTGCATGTGCTTGTTGATCTGTCAAAGTTGCAGCACTAACTGATCTACCTGTGATAGGGATCCCCAAGATGGTACCCACATCATCCAATGTCATTGTCATCTCACCAACTGTCAAATGGAAAGTATTTGTCTCTGGTTGCCATCGCTCAACAAATGCAGAAATGACAATCCTATTCACGAACCGATACATGCAATGGACCAAAGAAGATAGGCTTGACTGCTGCACAATGTCTCTAAACCTTCTATTGTCGGTTCTTGACCACCACCGCCACTCAAGAATCTTAGACGCATGATTATAACACCTTAAGGGATTCCTCTCCTGCAAGGTAATTAATAATTAACATAAATAATGTGGTTCAATAAATAATTAAATGAATGAACATGGTAAAAAATAGTTACCACCTTCTGATCCCATATAGCTGCTACAATATGTGCCTTGAAGCTCTTCAGTACTGATGGATCTGATGGCCCCCCAGGAAACGGACCAGTGAGTACCTCCTCAACCTGATCAACATTAGTAGCATCATCATCATCCCCTGAACCATTATCAATCACATCCTCTTCCAAGATTTGAGGTGCTTCCTCCAACACAATATCATCACCTCGACCTCTATCCCGACCCCGACCTCGACCTCGGGCACGAGCAGGATTTGTTAATGCACGACGTTGTCTCTCTGAGGTAGTGGGTGGAATACGTGAAGGGTCATCCATTTCTAAAAAATTAAACACAAAACAATAAAGTTAACAGAAATAACAATAAAGGTAGCAAAAGTAATGAACTTAAAGAGCTACAAATGAACAAGCTTGCAGAGATTTACAACAGAACAAGATTAGAGGACATTGTTAACACAATCATTAGCAAAGAGAGTTTGGACCCAGTTGGTGGTACTATGACTTTTAGTGAGGTGTTTTTCAATGAAGAACTATGCAGATAAGAGGCTGCAGTAAAGAAGTATGTGCTGTTTGGTTACACAGTTCAAGAAGAGCTTGATTTCCTTTCTCGCAAAAGCATCTTATATTTATGTTAGGTATGTCTAAAAATTAAAAAAATTACTTAAAATATTAAAAAAATTAAGTAAAAACAAAAAAACACGGAAACAAGAAAGTAAAATTTTCTGAAAAGTGTTTTGGGAAAACTCTAACAAAGCAAGATTATTTTTATGATTTTTTAACTTCTTTTTTTTTTAATTTTTGGAAGAGCATGTTTGGGATGTTTTAAAAAATCGGCTTTCTGCCTATCAATAATAAATCGAACAATTCACCTACACTGAGATGGTAAGAGAGTTGAGTTTTGTATAATTAAATTTGTGGCAAATCAAAAGTTGACACGTAACATATTATTTCATTATAAGTGAATTGTTAGTATTTTTTTTAGAAGTCTCAATCTTTTTATTAAAATAGTAATATTTTTTTATATTTTATAAAGCTAGGGTGTTCTTTATTCATGGTAAAGAAGTTGAATCTATCCATATATATAAATCTTATATAATAAGTTTGTGACAAATCAAAAAATAACATGTAATATGCCATATATCATTGTAAGTGAAATATGAGAATTTTTTTTTAAAAATCTCAATTTTTGTTCTAAATATGATAATGAATTTGCAAAAGAGATATTGGTAGGGTGTAATGATTTTGTCATACATTTAATTTAAGTTTATGAGACATTCTAGGTAAAAAAAAAATTTAGAAGAAAGGCATATAAAGGACTTTTGATAGAGGAACAACCAAATTGCATCCATGCTATATACATATAAGGATTGAAATAATAATAATAATAATAATATATGATTGGAGAAGTTGGAGAGAGAGAAAATATAATATAAAATAATAAAAAAAAAACAAAAAAAAGGTAAATGTAATTTGATATGGACGAACGATATAATACTGTTATTTTACGGGGCTTCTATTTTCACACACAACTTCCTCTCTTTCTATATCTCTTATTAACACACACACACACCTAATAAATTTGAATTATTATTTTTCACTTAGTATATATCCTATTGTACCAAAATACCCTTACTTTTTTCATTCTCCAAACTCTAACCCTAAAACAGCCACCCACTCACCTTCACGACAACCTCTTTTTGCCGTCGCTATCATCTCTGGCAACTCTTTCCTCTGGTGAGGGGTTACAGAAAGTAGGGCTGGGCAAAGAACCACCCAACCTCACAAACCGCCTGAACTGACCCTACTTGTAGCATTATGGGCAGTTTCGACATAAAGAGTGGGTCGAATGCGGGTCTAATTTTCTGTAAAAAATATCGGGTTGTCGATTTTGCCCCTAAACTGCACTCGCACTTTCTTTTTATAAAGAAAATAAACCCTAAAAGGGCCAAACCTTTACAAGTTTCCTTTCCTTTCTTTACTTTTCCTTAGCTAACGTACCCCTAGCAGCAGCAGCAGAAGAGAAAGCGACGTAGCAATATCACAACACCTCGCGACAATCGGCGACGTAGCAGTAGCACAACACCTCGCATTGCTAGGTTTCTCTCTCTCTCTCTCTTGATTTATCGTTCTCTTTCTATATATATAGCCTTATAAATTTGCTTAATTTTAGAATTAAAGCCTAATCCAAAAAAGAGTAGCTCAAAATAGCCCAACTTGCAAACTGAACCGCACCCGCCCGCACACCTGATTGACTCAGCTGCGCAAACCGCATTGCAGGTAGTTACAGGTATGTTTTTCCAAAACCGCACTTGACCAAAATCGATTCGTGACCACCCCTAGCAACAACAGGGGAGGGTTGCCATCGAAGGATATTATTTAATTTTAACCACATTATCATTTAATTTTGAGGAATTTAGCCACAAGTCTCATTTTAAAGAGTTATTTAAGCTTGAGTCTCATGCATAATAATTTAATCTTTTAAATCCAATTAATTATGTAAGAGCAAATTACATGATAATGGAAATAGGATAAATAATTACATCTCAGTGGCATCTTTTTATCTAAAATTATACATGTCATTTTTCATTTTAAATTATTAATTTAAAATTTTGTTAAATATATTTAATATCATATCATTTTTTAGATATCGTCGATATCTTTTTAAATGATATTAATTTTGTACGGGGAGCAAATATTCCGGCAAGCCCGTACTCCTTTCTTCCAAGCTCCGTCGATGTCCGATCACCTGCGAGCAAGTAATGGTGAGCTACCCGGCGGTGTGTGGCCGGAAACACCCTCCGACGATCAAGTTAGCACACACCTAAGGATGGATAGAGAGAAGGGAGAGAGTGTTTGAGTGTAAGAATTCCTTACAGAGATGTTCGTGTTGCGTATGGGGGGGCGCAGGCATGCTTATATACCTTCTGAGCCCCATATCCACTCCCAGTCATCTCCTGACACGTGGCTCTGCTATCCCATCTGTCAGCATAAACCATGCCATTCATCACCTAACCTCAACTGCCTGTCATCACAGCTGGAGCTCGGCAGCCGAGCTGCCCTATCCGTTGTTGTGCCATGCCGTGCTCCATACCCTAGCACTTCACTGGCCAAGACTGAGGAGGACCGGGCTAGGCGGCATCTCGGCAAAGCCTAGCCCGAGATGCCTCCACTGGCCAAGACTGAGGAGGACCGGGCTAGGACTGCCTTGCCGAGCAGTCTCTGTCCGGTCCGGGGTGGCACACACAGCCCGAACTCTGCCCGGCCCAAGTTCTGGCAGCCCTTCTCTGGGCATACAGTCGGTCATCTCGGCCCAATGCACTGCTGGGCTTTCAACCTGTTGGGTCGATATCTCGGCCCAACTCCAGATCATAAATCACCCTCTCAAATTTTATAAAAATTAAATTTATATATTAAAAATTGCACATATTCATATTTAAAAAAAAAAAAACAAACGGATTGTTTGGAAATTGTTAGATTAGTATACTTTTTGATTTTTTACAAAAAAATATAAAATATAAATTAAATTTAAAATAATATAATAGAAAAATAATATAACCTAAATAAGATGATTGAAAATCAAGTAAGATAATATCTAAACAAGCACAAAATTTTGTTATTTAAAAGTGAAGTGTCTCAGCCTCCGTTTGGCAAGGGCTTTTTCAGGCTTTTTTGGCTATTTTAGCCACAAAAAACAAAATAGGCTATTTTAGCCATAACAAACAAAACATCACATCCAACCTATAATCATTACATTCTTCTCTCACAAAAAAAGTCAAAAAAGCCAAAAAGCCAAAAAGCCCTTCCCAAACCAAGCTTTTTAGCCCAGGCTAAAATAGCCAAAAAAGCCAAAAAGCCAAAAAGCCAACCCACTTCCCAAACGGAGGCTCAGTGAGTTTGAGTGAGAGTGTGACGCGTGTGTTTGTGTGAGTGTACGACATGTAACGGTGAGAAAGGAGTGTAGTGAGAGTTAATGGGCAAACTGATACCAAACAGGGCCTTGCTGGAGTAAAAATCTTGGGGTGGAGATGGGAGTTATCCTAATATGGCCTATTTTGGCAACATGGTTTGTAGTCACTTTTTTTGATTAGTAGTAAAAGGTAAAAGTTAAAAGTTGATTTTTTTGTCTTTTTTTTTATTTGGGAAGTTGGTTTTTAGCCAACGGTGAAATTACAATTTTACCCCTCATGGGTCAAAATGTGTTGCATAGGTGAAGTTGTAAATATTTTAAATAAATGGGGGTAGTTTGGTCATTTTATTATGATTTGACATCATAAACAAACATTAATCAAAAAAGTCAAAAAGTCACTTTTTACCAACTTTCCAAATCATTTGTCTAAAAAAGCCAAAAGCTTAGTTAAAAGCCAAAAAATCACTTTTTACCATCTTCCCAAAAGTTGAGAGAATTACATATTAGTAAAATTTAAGGTAAAAAATTACAAAAAATATAGTGGGTGCAAGTTAAAGACTTTCCTAACAAATTAAATCTTTAAATTTAACCCCATCATTAGGGGTGGGCAACGGTTTATCCGAACCGCTCAAACCGTCAAATCTGCCCAACCCGCATATAAATGGGCGGTTTCGCAAACATAATGCGGGCGAATGCGGTTTGAAATATGACAAATTTGCGGTTTGCGGGTTACGGGTTGTGGTTTAAACCCGCAACCCGCAAAAACCGTCCGCACTTTAATTATTATTATTATTATTTTTTATATACCAACTTTGTAACTTTTACAGGAGCACCATTATATTCTCTATGACACTAGGATCCTTATTTTTAAGTATTTCTCAACTTTCTTAATGCCGTAGAATTATCAAGTCCCAAACTTGATTTCTTATATGATTTTCATTGGTGATTCATTCACTTTTTCCTAATAAAATTTTCTTTCTGGTGGTCGATGGAACTTCTAGTTTGATTATTGATTACTGAACTGGCAATTCTAATTGAGTACAACCTTTAATGCATTGATATACATTTTTTTCATGGCAAAAATGCTAGTGTAGGATCTTTTTATTTTGGATACTTTCATTTAATGTATTGATATTCAATTTTTATTTGTAAACTCATTAGAAAATTGTTATCACAAATATATAAAATAAATTTGATGCCTAAATTTGATGGAAAAAAAAACTCAAAAATTAATTTTTAAAGAAAAAAGTGTAAACCGCAAACCGCCCGCACATTTGTATACCCTATCCACACAAACCACAAACCGCAAACCGCACTGCGGGCGGTTGCGAGTTGACTTTTTCCCAAACCGCATAGATGCGGGCGGGTCAAAACCGAACTGCACACCGCATAAAACCGATCCACGAACACCACTACCCATCATCTTTAAATGACAACCAATCATATTATAATCATAACTGAGAAGCAATTTAAGTAAGTGGGCGTTTGGAACTAGCGAAAATAGTGTTTTTTTTTTTTTGGTGTCTTTTTTAGTTATTTTTTTTAAAACATATTTGATTGTTGCTAAATAGTAACTATTTTTTAGGTGTTTTTTTTTTTGTTTTGACTTTTAACCTTTTTTTATTTATAAAAAGCTAACTTTTTAAAGAGATATGACCTAATATATAGGAGTGTTTTGGAAACTTCATAAAAAGTTAACTTTTTAGATTTTTTAGTTAAAAAAGCCATAAAAAGGCCTATTTTGAGAAAATAATAAAAAGTGACTTTTTGACTTTTAATCAAGCTTTTGATTTTTTTAGACAAATGATTTGGGAAGATGATAAAAAGTTATTTTTGACTTTTTTGATTAATATTTATTTATAATGTCAAATCGTAATAAAATGACCAAATTATCCACATTCAATTTAAAATATTTACAATTTCACCCATGTTGCACATTTTGACCCATGAGGGGTAGAATTGTAATTTCACCAATGGTTGAAAACCAACTTCCCAAATGTATTTAAATACAAAAAAATCAACTTTTAACTTTTGCTACAAACTTAAAAAAGTGGCTAAAAGACAAGTTTCCAAAACACCCCATAGCTAGTTTTCTTACCCAAAAAAAGTCACAAAAAACAAAAAAGCCAGTTTTTAATCAGCTTCTCAACACACCCCACACCAATGTTTTCAAAACTGGGAACCGG